GCTTCTGACCAGCGGCATGGTCTTGGGGACAGTTCTGCTTCCACCTAATAGTTATGGCAGAGATCAGAACACATCACTTTGCTGCCTGTGCAGTGAGGCCTCAGGATCTGCTGTACCCAACTTGACAGGTATGGGTCAGAGTTGGAAGTTGGAGAAAGGGTGGATAACCACAAGAGTCAAGTGTGGAGATGTTAAAAAATTAATCTTACCTGCTATTGTTATCATCCACATGTTTTGTCAGTAAAGGTTTATGTTGTTTTTTTTTGTTAGTATTTCATAGTGTAATGTTTATTGAATATTTATTGAATAGTTAGCAAATGGAAGAATATATAAATGATATTTTATGATATGAAGTTGTATATATGTCTTGATGTGAAGAACTTAAGCTGTGTTAAAAACTGTTGAATACTTTATCCAACTTAGTTTTTAAAAGAGATTAAAATTTTTAGCTTGTAGAGAATATAGTCAGGTGAAGTAGAATTCTGTGAAGAGAAAGGTTTATAAAATACTCGAAACTACCTAAMCTGAAAAATTTGTATTTTAATTTTTCCAATTACTACCTGAAAGATTTGTAATAAAACTGATAAAGAGTTATTGAATAACTAATTGTTGGAAGTGTTTTTATAAAATTAAGCATTAWGTTTCAGATTACTGGGGCTGGAGTTGTAGCTCAGTGGTAGGAGTGCTTGCCTGGCACATGTGAGGCACTGGGTTTGATCCTCAGCATCACATAAAAATAAATAAAAATAAAACAAAGGTATTAAAAAAGTTTTGGATTTCTCTGTGAGTTTATTATTCTAGGTTTTAACTTGTTTAATCATAGTAATTTATTTTGAACAAGCTATTATTGCTGTTTTGCTTTACTTTTGTTGTATATTGCACATTTATCAATAGGAAAAAGTTAATAGGGCTGGGGTTGAGGCTCAGTGGCAGAACACTTGCACTGGGTTCGATCCACATAAAAACAAACAAAATAAAGATATTGTGTCCATCTACAACTAAAATAAAATTTTTTAAAAAATTAACAAAGCCYAGTGCAGTGGCACATACCTATAGCCCAGTGACTTGGGAGGCTGAGACAAGAGGACTAGAAGTTTGAGGCCAGTCTGGGTAGTTTATTGAAACCCTGTCTCAAAAAAGAAAAAATTAAAAGGGCTGGGGATGTAACTCAGTTCTAGAGAGCCTCTGGGTTCAGTCCCAACATCCTAGTACTAAAGAAAAAAAAAAAAAAAGGAGCATAGGGGATGGAGAAAGAAAGAAGTAACAAAATTCCCTTTTTAAAATTGTCATAAAATAGTTCTGCCACTTGATTCCTTTACATACATAAGTAAAATTCAGTTTTCTAATGTTTTGTCTTAAGTCCATCATCTACCTCTATAAAAAAAGCAGTAATTAACTAGAAGATTAGTTCAGTTGCTATCTAATTTAGTATAGAGCAGTCACTTCACATTGTTCAAAAATGAAACTTCGCAGCCTACACATCTCCATTGAGGCTTGCGCAGTACATCTGAATCATCCAGACATGTCTATCTTAACTGATGAGGAAAGTGCCACAGACTAGGCCCACTGACTTTACTTGCTCTGCCCATAGGCTTTTGTTTCATTTTGGTTTTGCATTAACCCTTAGCTGATTCTTTTCTATTTATTTCTTTTAACACTGTGATTCAATACATGTTCATTCTCGTCCCCAGAAAAATGTTGAATTTCTTTTCTTTAAAAAAGTTCTCTTTTTGTTTGGTACCAGTAGGTAGGATGGGATTTCAGTGGGATATCCTGTGTAGACTGGTTTACAGGAAATTGACCCTCAGTTCTATGAGAACAGAAGAGTGAGTGGGAAGAAAGAAGAAAAGAAGGAAGGAAGATCTTTTGACTCAGTCAGAAGGACCATAAAACCAGAGATGGGAAGAGGGGGTGGTGGGAAATGAAAAGGTTTGTTTTCCAAATAGTGGTTCTTTTAGTATTTTTGCCTAAAAAAAAATTTATTTTTATCCTGTGTTTATTGATTTGTATATTTAAGAAATATGTAGTATTGTTTGACCTTTAGATATTTTAAAATTTATGTTACATTGTGTTGTGGGTCTTATCCTGTTTTCTCCTTTTGTCAGATAACTTCTTCTTTTGTTTTTTTTTTTTTTTTTTTAGTACTAGTAATTGAACCCAGGAACACTTCACCTCTGAGCTACATCTTTAGTCTTTTTTCTTTTTAATTTTGAGACAGCGTCTTGCTAAATTGCTGAATCTGGCCTTGGACTTGAAATTCTCCTGCCTCAGTTTCCTGATTATAGACATGTGCCCCTGCACCTAGCTAAATAACATGGTTTTAAAGAAGCTAACTTTGCCTTTAAAAATCTTCCCTTGGGCTTGGAGTTCCTCCCCCGATAGATGAATCACATGTTATGAACATGTCCTTGCACATTGACAGTCATCAGAACAGAATTCTTACTCATCCATTTTAAATGCTTATTTAATTCAAAGTTTGAAACCTTGCCTGACTCCAGAGTTTTGTTTTATATTTTGTCCTCTTATAGTATCCTCTGAGTATGGCAGTCTACATGATTTATTCTTTTTTGAAACCTCTTATATACAGGCACTGTTTGGCATTCACTGTTCAGTGAACAAAACAGAAAATTCCTGTCCTCGTGAAACTTGTATTCTAGTAGGGGAAGTTAGATGATATGCATAAGTATAGTAATTAATAAGTAAATTATATGTTTGGTAGTAAGAGCTGTGGAGAAAAATATATATCAAGAAAGGAAATGTGGAAGATGTGGAAGCGTTGTTAGGAATAGTTGAACTTTAAAATAGAGTAATCAGAAAATGCCATACTGGGAAGGGTAGTATTTGAGTAAAATGTCATGGGGACAAGTGTTTAGGCAGAAGGAAAACCAGCACAAAGATCCCGAAGCAGGAGTGTGTCTGCCATGTTTAAATGATAGCAGGGAGGCCAGTGGTCAGAATGATATAAACTAAGGCGAGAGTAGTTAAGAGAGCACAAGACACAGAGTGAAGGACCTCATAGGCTCTTTAAGGATTTTGGTTTTTACTCTAAAATGGGGAGCCATTGAAAGAGTTTTAAACAGTTTGGTTTATGCATTAAGAGATAACTGGAGTGTTGACAAACAATAAGAAGACAATATAGAAGCATGGAAATCAGTAGCTTCATGAAATAATCTAGGTGACAGATTATTGTAACAGGATGGTGGTAGTGGAGAGGGTGAGTGAGAGATGGATAGACTGGATATTTCTGAAAGGAGTGCCAATAGAAGTTCTGTGAATTGGATGTGGTATGTGTGAGCAAGAAAGAAGTCATGAATGATTACAACGTTTTTGGCCTTAGCACCTGAAAAGATGAAATTATCATCAGCTGAGATGGGAATTCTGTAGGAGAAACAGATTTGCGGTGGTGGTGGGGAGAATAGAGAGTAGTTTTGTATATTAAGTTGAACAGTGTTATTAGAGATTTCTAGTCTTTTATGTTCTGAAATCCAGCATAATATCTAGCATATAGTAAATGTTCACACAAGTTACTAGTTTTGTAAATCTTAAAACTTTTTTTTTTTGGGGGGGGGGGAGGTGCAAAGGTTGGCCTAGGCAAGTGCTATACTACTGAGCTACATCCCCAGCCCTAATCTTAAACTCTAATATGCTGGATTTCACAAAGTTAGGTATAAATGTATAGCATTTGCTGTTTTTGTCCTAATAGGATTTAAGTTGGCTACAATGTCTGCTTAATACTACAGTATCTTTAACCTTGTCATYGATGATAGAAAAGTTCTCCAGAGGTGAGATTTTTATATAATTTCAAACAGGCAGCTTGTATCTAAAAAGAATGAAGTGTATTTGAAACTGTACTTTGATAATCATTAGACAATAATAATTACAAAACATTGTAATGTGTTATCACATTATTTCTGACAAAATCATTTATCAGTATGGATCTTGGGGTGTTTAGTGTGGCCTTGTTAAATTGATAAAAGTGAATATTTACTATGGGTTATTTTTTTTTTTTGACAATGCTCTTGATTTTAATGAAGGACTGGCATTTGTGACCCAGTGGAACATCTGCTAGAGCAAGTAATTTTTTCATTAAAATAAAAATATAGTACATGTGACCACTTCAAAGAATGTTTCTTATGATTTGTTGTTGTTGTTTATTTGGTAATCCTAAATTAGTTATCTTATATATAATTTAACTGTTTCATCCATTGTAACTTTGTTTAAACAGGGAGCAAGTATTTGCTTTAAATTGACTTTTTGGGACACCTGAACATACCTTTTAAGTCTATCATAATACTTTYAATACAAAACAAAATTTAACTCTAGAAATTCAGACATTTCTTTCTTTTCAGAGAAGAAATGAATGTGATAAAGTGAAACTATGCCACTCTTTAGATAATTACAGATCCGCCTGCAGTAGGAATTTCTGTCAATATCATGTAGATAGTTATGAAACATTGTTTAGTGTGATTTTAAGATTAAAATTCATTTGTTTCCTGTCATATATTTTTGTGTAATTAGCAATTCATTCAGCTAATAGTTACTGAACACATATTATGAAAACTAGACAGAAGATTCAGTTCTTATCCTTAAGGAGTCTCCATTGTAAAGTGTGGGAAATAGACATAGATGAGGTGATTGATGGGACAAATGTCAGGTTTTGAAAGCATAGAGAGGTGTGTGGTTTCCTAGGGGAAGTTATAGATTTATAGGGGAGCTAACTAGTGTGGTAAGGTGAGAAGCCAGCTAGTCAGAAGAAAGTGGAATGAGAACCCATTCTAGGTATACAGGACTCAACAAAGACCAAGAGGTGGGAAGCAGAGTGGCATATGTTAAATGTGAGGTGTGGAGTGGGGAGAGACAAAGTTGGAGAAGTAGATCTCAACCATCTACTAATTGTGAAAGGTCTCAAAGGCCATGCATGATAAGGAGACTTCAGCTTGATGGTGAACTCTTGAAGTGGCTTAAGAAGAGTGATGTGGTCAAATTTTTGTCTTAAATAGATCACTTTGCCAGCTGTGTGGAGGATGGATTTGAGGGAGACAAGACTGGAGGCAATAGTCCAGGTGAGATGTTGGGGATCTGAACCGAGGTCTTGAAAGTAGAGGTGGAAAGAAGAATGGATTTGAAACAAAATAAGACCCCAGATTTAAAGGTTTTTCCCTTCAAATATGTTAAAAAATAATTTTAAATTAAAAGTCAGGAGAGACTTAATACAAAAATGTTGTTCTATAACAGACAATTGGATGGTTTGCCTTAGCAGACAGCCACTAAAATCAGTCCCAGAAATCTAGAAAATTTTGGAAGAACAATTATTTTTTGTATAGCCAATCTGGGCTATGTGAGACAGGTGATCTTTCAGACAATATAGGTATCACCTGTCTATGCGTATGAATAAATTAGGAACTATAAAGCCTTGAGGAAGAAACCGGTCTTACTAGGCTTCATCCACTGCACATGATAGAAACTCAGTAAATATTCACTGATTAAATTTTCAATATTTTACAGATAAATGCTCAGGAAAAGAAATTAGAGGGTTTTTTAAGTCATTAAAACCATGAACAGTTACAAACTGTTCTTAACCTAAAAAGATTGTTTGAAATGTCAAGAATACTTTGTATTGTACCAAAACATGTTTCTTTCACTTTGCAGAAATTTGGGACTATTTTGCTGAAAGCATTATTTCTGTAATTTTTATACATAATGGAAGGTCTGGATTTATTCAGTACTTCTATATTTCTGAAATATTTCTTTTTCCTATAGTTAGATTTCTTTGGAAAGAGTAATGGAAGAAGTGTAGTTTAGAATTTATAAAACATAACTATTCTTTATTTAAAGCCATCACCACAACAAAATATGCTGTGTGTTTTTTAAAGGTAGGAGCCTCTTCTTTCTGAGCTTTCTTTTTTACATTTTAAGAAAACTATGCCATATCTGATTTTGGTGCATGCATATAAATCAGAGCTAAACTTTGTGGTCCTTTCTCTATCTTGTTACCATTTCAAAAAGTAATTCTCTGTCTAATGCTCAGGAGACACAGTGCCTAATTGCTCATTCTTCATGACTCCATTAACTGTACAGTTCTGTCTCTCTTTGGAGTTGTCAGTATAGGCCAGCAAGTGAAATAATGTGTATGTACTGAATTCAAGTGAATTTTCAGCTGCTGGAACTCATTGTGAATTCTTTTCCCTTTTTGTGTCTTTCAGAAGCTTTGCACCGCCCTTATGGTTGTGATGTTGAATCCCAGGCACTGAACGAAGCTATCAGGTGGAGTTCCAAGGAGAACTTGCTTGGAGCCACTGAGAGTGACCCTAATCTCTTTGTTGCACTTTATGATTTTGTAGCGAGTGGTGATAACACACTCAGCATCACTAAAGGTGAGGCTTCTATATAACATCCAGTTTCTATTAGTGGTTAAGAATAAAGGAGACTGTCTGGCTTCTGCCACTGACTATAATTAGCTTTCTGATTTGGGCCCAGATACTTTTGGTTTGTTCCTTTTTTTAGCTGTGTAAGAGTTCTGCCCTATAAAGTGTAACTCTATTTTTTAGGGTTTATTAAGGATAAAACCGAATTAAAACACCTTAGGAATTCTCAGAAATCTGTACTGTATATGTTATGTATGTAATATATATATATATATATATATATATATATATATATGTACACATATATATTAAAATCTAAGTTTGTTCTTGCCTCTTGAATCTATAAAGGCTCCCACTGGGGAAAATGTATTTCAGGATAATTTTTAACTAAATAAAATTGGAACTTAAATGATTATTTGTCAAACAGATGCCTCTTGCTTACAAGTTTAAGAATGGAGAATTAAATGAGAGTGGTCATTCCAAGAAGGCAGCCTGTCCCCACTCAAGGAAGGTCACCCATCTGTAAGGAAGGCAGCCCTTCCCCATTTGAGGAATGCTACCCTTATATTTCTTGTCAGTATTTTCCAAGATAGCGCAGTCACCAAGGGAACATCAATATAGAAAGTCTTAATTTCTCATTTACGAGTTAGAGCAGCTGCTAGTCTACTGCTTAAGGACTAGGATTCCCTTTATCTATGGCCAAGAGTAGTTTCTCTTAAAATCCATGAAATGTCAGATTTTTCTTATCTTTCTTTCCCTTGTATTTTGGTACTGGGGATTAAACCCGGGGGTGCTCTGCCACTGAGCTACATCCCCAGTCCTTTTTATTTTTTTTTTGAGGCATGGTCTTGCTAAGTTGCCCAGGCTGCCCTGCAATTTGGGATCCTCTGCTTCAGCCTACCATGTAGATGGGATTACAGGTGTGTGCCTGGCTAGTTCCTTCTTCTTTGAAGGTGATACTTTGCTTACAGTAAAAAGAAGAATTCTGCTGAACTCAGTGCCTGCCTATAGCCCAGCTACTTAGTGACACTGAGATAAGACGATCATTTGAGCCCAAGACCTTGAGACTAGCCCAAGCAACAGGCAAGACTCTGTCTCAAGAAAGGAAAGAAAAGAAAGTTCTTTTTAGAATTCCTCTGCCAATAGGCCCAATTTTTATGGTAGTCAAAATTTCTAGAGTTGAAAATTCTCCTAACTGCCAAAAAGGTAAAAAAAAAAAAAAAACCTGTCATGTTTGTATCCTAATTATGATGGTCTGTAATTACCAGTTCTATTTAAGGAAGGGGCAGTATGAAAATACACAAAACTTGGTCTTCAAGTTCTGTGGACTAATATAGAAAAGCAGCAGGGCAACAAGTTTTCCTATAAGTACAGAAATATAGTTGGCTAGTATTCATCTGTGCACTCGTGCATGTCCACTGCCACAAAAGACACACTTTTGTCTGTGTACATTGTATGTATATTATATACCCATGTGTGTGTATACGTGTGCTTTTGGGTTTTTCTTCCCATCTAGGTGTTTCAGGTAAGATAGTAGGGACTACAAAGTTATGCTATGGTAAAAGTTTCTGGAGGTCACTGGGAAAAGATAGATGGCTACCAGAGAAATTATTTTGAATTTTTCTTCAATAGCCTTTGACTGGTAACTTCTGGGCCATGTGATTGATTTGGCATCCTTCTGATTTTTGACCCTCAGAAAGTAGGAGTGAACTCTGTATAGAAAGCCTTGCATCTGTTAGAGATAAGAGYCTAAGGCACTACAATATTTCATTAGATTAACTTTTATGCATTACTAAATAATGCATAAATAGAGTTATATATTAGTACATAAATAGAGCTATATATTAGTAATACTTATACATTACCTAAATAATAATGGTATCTTTTTTACCTTCCCTGTTTTGCCAAAGACACTTCTAATCTATACCTGAAAATACAGGGACAAAATGTACATTAAAATCTTAAGTTTATAATGGTGTATTAAGAATTGTAATGCAAAAAATTTTTAAAAATCTAAGTTTTATGTTACAACTTTACTAGAGAAATCAAGAACATGGAAATTGGTAGCAAAGATTCACTAAGTGACTTGGGATTTGGGTTCCATCTTCAAAGTCATCTTCCCTTTCCATACACTAATTTTAGAGGAAAAGATAGGGGATTCATTCTTTGTGGAGAGTAGGAGGGAAACCATAGCTATATTGGGAAACTATACCATCCTGGAAGTAGCTGTGCTTTGGGAGTCCTCTCTGCCTTCTCCTGCTCTCCTAGTTTTCTTAGAGAAAACATTGCTGAAAACTCTTTGTTCTTGTGTGTGTGTGTTTTTTTATTATTATTTGTTTATATCCGTASTTTTGTTGCCTTGGTGCCAAATGATATTTAGAAGCAACTTGGTATTTCACATCTTACCTCTAATTCTCGATTATCATTATCATARTAAGCTATTTTGAGGGAAAGTGAATTTTATTTTTCTTGCACTATCATTTTCTAGCCAGTTGAGTAACTGTTCTGTCTTGTATGTTTCTTAGCACCATAGAGGTTCTTGGGAACATTTTTAAGGGGTTATATAAACTTTTAAAATTTTGTAATAAATGCCAGAAAATATTTTCTGTTCTTATAGTTCAAGCTACAAATCAGAGATCAATCAGGACATGGCCAGCTTTTGTTATTTACGAAACATCTTGCCATCAAATTCTTATTTTCTTTTTAAGTGAGTTTTAAGTTTGACAATGCACTGCATTGGTTTGAAATAAAGTCTTCTCTTTTCTTTTTGTTCTGTGATTATTTCACGGTTAGGTGAAAAACTACGAGTTCTTGGTTATAACCAGAATGGCGAGTGGAGTGAAGTTCGTTCTAAGAATGGACAGGGTTGGGTGCCAAGCAACTATATCACCCCAGTAAATAGCCTGGAAAAACATTCCTGGTACCATGGGCCTGTATCACGCAGTGCAGCCGAGTATCTACTCAGCAGTCTAATCAATGGCAGTTTCCTGGTGCGAGAAAGTGAGAGCAGCCCTGGGCAGCTTTCCATCTCGCTCAGGTATGAGGGGCGTGTGTATCACTACAGGATCAATACCACCACAGATGGCAAGGTAAGACTTGCCAGTAACCACTGCTACTTGTGGACTGGCTGCTCTGTATAAAGAGTACTCTCACTGACTAAAGTGGAGTATAGTTTTTTTTTTTTTTTTTGGTCTCACATGAAATAAGATATTTGCTGAATTTGTGAGTTTAGGATATTTGGCATGTTAGAGCTTGCTCTTTTCAAAACAATAAAGTAATATAAAGTAAAAAGAAGASTATATTAATAGTTTAAAGATGAGTTACATGCGAAGGTAAAGAATGAAGGGAACTGCTATGTAAGCTGTTCTAATCATCAACACAAAAAAATACACCCAGTATATTGACAAAGAATTTATATTAACCCTGTTTCATGGAAAATAAAAATGATCTCTAGAAAGTTCATGGAGTATGAGTTAAGACTTTTGAGACTGGCGTTGATCATTAAATGTATGTTTGTATGTTGATATAAATAGATCATTTTAGTCATTTAGTAGTTTTTATGTTGGGAAGATCACAAATTAGAATGAACTTATTTATTTATTTGTATTTGGTGGGGGGTACTGGGAATTGAACCCAGAGGCTTTAACCATTGAGCCACCCTCCCAAGCCTTTTTTTTTTTTTTTTTTTTTTTTATCTTTTGAGACCGGTCTCACTAAGTTACTTAGGGCCTTGCCAAGTTGCTAAGGCTGGCTTTGAACCAGGGACAGTTGCTGGGATTACAGGTCTGCACCACCATGTCTAGCCAGAATGAATGTATTTAGAATGGAATTATTATATTTTATAAATTAGGAAGTCTGAGAGCTTGTGTCAGTTCTTCTGTTGAAAATTTAGATCAAACCCTTTTTTCCATTTTTTTTCCCTGTGTGATATGCATAACAGGGAAAAAGCATGGGCTTTAGACCAAGCATTCCTGTTTGCCTGTAATTTCAGATACTTGGGAGACTGAGGTAGACACAAGTTCAAGGCCAGCCTCGTCAACTTAGTGAGACCTTGTCTCAAAATAAAAAATAAGGGGCTGAGGATGTGGCTCAAGCGGTAGCATGCTCGCCTGGCATGCGTGCAGCCCGGGTTCAATCCTCAGCACCACATACAAACAAAGATGTTGTATCTGCCGAAAATTAAAAAATAAATATTAAAAATTCTTATTCTCTCTCTCTCTCCCTCCCTCCCCCCCCTCTCTCTCTCTTTAAAAAAATTAATAAAAATAAAAAAATAAATAAAAAATAAACAAAGGGCTGAGATTGTAGCTCATTCATAGTGTTCCCTGAGAGGGAAAAATGTCCCACATTATAGGTTGTTGTAAAGATTAAATAAAGTAATTTATGTAAAATATAATAGCTGGTACAAAATAAGAAATAAATAAATTACTAGTTCTATTTCTCTTTTGCCCCACCATACAGACGYAGTATGTTGTATCATGGCCCAAGCAAGTAGAATCAGTTGTCTAACAACAGTAGAATGGATTAACAAATTGTGGTGCGTTCATAAAATGAAATGTCTTTTAACAACAAAATGAACATAAAGTTCTATACCCAACACCATGTGGAAATCTATGGCTTACAACTGCCTGCTTTTATAAGTAAAATTTTATTGAAATGCAGCCACATCCATTTATATATGTATTCATACATGTATTCATCTGTAGTTACTTTCTGTTACTAGGCGGAGCTGAATAGTTGTGTCAAGAGACCCTATGGCCAAAAGCCTAAAATATTTATTTTTTTACGTCTTTACAGAAAAGTTTGCTGGCTTCTGCTACAAAAAGTCTCATACACATGAAGCCGATTGAAAGGGATTAGTGATTGCCTGGGGGTCGGGATGTSGGGAAAGTGGGAATAATTACTGATAGGCATGGGTTTTCTTTGGCAGGGGGTGATTAAAAATATTCTGGAGTTGTGAAGGTTGGGCAGTTTTAAAATACACTAAAAACTACTGGATTATAAACTTTAAAATGGTGAATTTTATGCTATCTTACAACACAAACGTTGAATGAAAGAAAGCAGACACCAGAMATACTGTATAGTTCATTTGTATACTGTTCAGTCAAAGCTATCTAAGATGTTTGAAGTCAGCTAGTGGTTACCTTTGCAGGACTAAGTAGGTAGAGGGAGGATTCAGGAGTGCTTATGATGTTTTTGGTGTGGGTGATATTTTCATGAGTGAGTTTATTTTATAAAAATCACCGATTCTCTATTTTTGATATACTTTTCTGTATGTAATCAAGTAAAAGTTTCTTTTTTAAAAATAAGCTCCCATGGTAGATAAAGCCAAAGACTGCGTTCCTTTACATTTCTTATTGCTTATCACAAATAAACAACTGTTTTGTTAATAACCCTGAAACCCAAATGTAGCATGCGAGGGCTTTCTTGTGCACTCTCTCTCTCTCCCTTTCTCTTTTTTAAAACAGCTTAGGCATTCAAGAAAACACATTGTAGCCTGTATTCCCATTGGCTCAGGAGGTTGGGTCAGGCGGATCACAAGTTCAAGGCCAGCCTCAGAAGTTAGCAGGGTCCCTTAGGGGACCATTAGTAATTATTCCCACTTTCCCCCCATTTAGTGAGCCATTAAAAAATAAATGGCTGGGGATGTAGCTCAGTGGGGGCCTCGGGTTCAATCTCCAATACCAAACCAAACCAAACAAAACAAAAACCCCTTACATGTTGTAATTAAAAATGATTAAGATAATTAAATAAGAATCATAATGCCTTCCTCACCCCCCTCCAGTCTAAATCAGTGGTTATCAATTTATGTTCTCTGTAAGATTTGGGGGTAATATTTCATTAACTTTGACAGGAGACCAACCCCTGCTTATCTACTTTAATCAGAACATCTCTCTTTTTACCCACCTTATATATTTGGATTCTATAACATTATTGTTTAGAAACTACTTGAAGACCAGTGAGCTTGATGATCCAGAGAGACATGTTGGAAGTCTCTTTCAACTTTAAAAATAGGGGGTGATTTAAACATTAAACTGAAGTTCTGTTGTTGCCCCTGGCCATCAGCATTTAACAGTTTACCTCAATTAAGATGTAAGGGGGGTGCCTGGGATTATGGCTCAGTGGTAGAGTGCTTGCCTACCATGGTGAGGCACTTCACTGGCTTTGATCCTCGGCACCACATAAAAATGAATTTAAATAAAGGTGTTGTGTCCATCTACAACTAATATATATATCTTCCATCTTCATATCTTAAGGCTTTTTAAAAAATCCTAATGTCTTTCAAGTTTGTTTATTTTTTCTTTTTCACCAGGTGTATGTGACTGCTGAGAGCCGCTTTAGCACTTTGGCAGAGCTTGTTCACCATCATTCCACAGTGGCTGATGGGCTGGTGACAACATTACACTACCCAGCACCCAAGTGTAATAAGCCAACAGTCTATGGTGTATCCCCCATCCATGACAAATGGGAAATGGAACGAACAGATATTACCATGAAGCACAAACTTGGGGGCGGTCAGTATGGAGAGGTTTATGTTGGTGTCTGGAAAAAATATAGCCTTACAGTTGCTGTGAAAACACTGAAGGTGGGTTGCTGAGAATTACAGTTTTCAGGCATCTTTTTGCCTGTGTACTGAATCACTTGGAAGTACCAGTGTGCTCTTTTTTAACTTTGGAACACTTTCCACCCACTGGTGCCAAACACATCAGCAAATCGTGATGATTAACCCTAGTGACATTGCTGACAACACAGGGCAGATTATTCACTGCAATGCAGTGAAACCCACATGTGGGAAAGGTTCGTTTCTGGAGAATGTTTATGTAGATCTTGGTGGGAGTTGAAAAGCAAATTATAAGTTACAAAAACAAAACAAGCTGTTTTGCTTCCTGTCAAAGACCCCTGCTGGACAGAATTCTTCATGCATTGTCTATGAATCATGGGTCTTTCTTATTCTGTTCTATATCTCCCTGCCTCTTGCTCCTCCTATCTCCATGCAATTACATAGTTTTTTCTTGTTCTTAAATTTGCAGAAATCTTTTTCTTAATACTACTCTCTCTTCTTTAAGCATCCCAGGATCAGATTACAGGGTCATCACTCATGGAATTTACTGATCTTATCCCAGAATCTCAGTGACTGGGAAATCACTCATACAGGTTACTTTCCAACAATGAGTAGTTGTCAGTTCTGTTTATTAAGCATATTTTGAGTGTGAGACAATATGTGAGGCTTTGCAAATATGCATTGCTCCTTAAGTGTGTGATTTAATTAGAAGATAAACAGGTAAACAGCTAATTGCGCTTTTCATTGAAATGCCAAAGTATCTAAAGAAGTAAAGAATTTCCAATCTAAGTCTCCTGTGTTTTGGTTGATATAGGATGTGCTATTGAATTTTGCTCACCCTCCTAATTTTTATTCCAGTTTCTAATATTGGATAAATTCAGGAACTTCTGTTGAACATATTAAGTTRTCAGGAAAAAAAATTTTGGTTGTAATAAAATTTCTTAAAGTGAAATGCTAAAATATTCAAGGGACACTCCCTTTTACTTTTAAAACTAAAGCCATAGAATTATTAGTTGATTCAAATGATTAAGATAAGGATCTATCTCTTTGTTTTTTTTCTATCTTACCTTCCCTGTTTTCCAGGAAGATACCATGGAGGTTGAAGAATTCCTAAAAGAAGCTGCAGTGATGAAGGAAATCAAGCATCCTAATCTGGTGCAACTATTAGGTGAATAAACCYGAACCATAAGTTTTCATAAAGATGCTTGCCCCCAGCCCCTGTTGTCTTCTAATCATTCTTTGGAATCATTGTGATAAAAACTCCCAATGAGAATCCATTTCAGAAAATGGTTGTCATGGACTGGGGGTATAGCTCAGTAGTAGAATTCTTGCTTGGCATGCATTTGGCCCTAGGTTCAAACTCCAGCAGCACCACCACCACCCCCCCGAATGTTATTTTGAACAGTAGGGGTTGGGTTGAAAACAAACAAACAAACCAAAAAAAAAAAAAAAAACAGGGCAGGGCTGGGATATAGCTGACAATAGAGTGCTTGCATAGCACATATGAGGCCCTGGATTAAATACCCAGCAGTACCAAAAATTAAAGAAAAAGACAGTGGCCTAGGTTCATTTCTGTGTAGGAAACTGCCAAGCATAAATGATGGCTGCCCCATTCAAAATTCAGAAGCATTCAAAATGGTACTAAGTCAAAAACTTATCACAATAATTTCACAAAATAAGGAAACTTTTACAGTAAAAAAAGAAACAGATTAGAAAATTGTTACCACACCCATCACTTTACCCAAGCAGGAAATGCTATACTGTGATAGATTGATTTCACCCATTCAGATCACAGAGAAGCTTTTGACTAAACCCTTATTTTCTCTATATAAAATTGGGCCAGTTTCTGTGGATGTTCAAATAGAATCAAACTATCTGAAAGAAAATAATTTCTTGTTGGCTCTTCATGAGGAATCTGCTGTGTGAAAATTCTTGACTATGGAAACAATTAAAATCTTTTTACAAACTATTATTACTTCTAGATAAGCATTGTTAGAATGTAGTTGAGTGGGAGAATCAAAGGCATGTCCAGAACTCTATAAAATGTGGTCATCTTTTCCCATTGCGGAATTAACACAAGTACCTCTTTTACACAAAGGCAGATGAGTTTCCAGAGAATAATATAAATGGAAGCAAAGACTTCCTTATCAACCAATTTCTTAATTTTTGCTATGTTAATTTCACAGAATGTGGTAAAAATTAGCCAAACCAGACAAAGAATTGTTGAAATATTCTTGGCCATAATGACTTGGATTATTGGAATGTATACTAATAAAACAGCCTCTCTCTTCATCTATCAGGTGTGTGTACTTTGGAGCCACCATTTTATATTGTGACTGAATACATGCCATATGGAAATCTGCTTGATTATCTCAGAGAATGCAACCGAGAAGAGGTGACTGCAGTTGTACTGCTTTACATGGCCACTCAGATCTCTTCTGCAATGGAGTATTTAGAGAAGAAGAATTTTATCCATAGGTGTGTGAAACCTGTTATTGCCTTCTTGCTTGATATGAAGATGAAGAAAAGAAAACCTTCCCAGAAATTTTCAGATAATTAAAGAAAGTAATTATCTCTATCACAGGGCTCATTAAATGTAATTTCTAGCTTGTAAACTTATTGTGCTCTGATTAAAAGTACTAATGAGAGATCTTTGTTATTCTCAACATGTACTAGCTCCTGTTTTTCCCAGCACTGTATCCAAGGTCCTTTTGCTCCATCTAGTGGCTGAATTAAAAAAAAATAGCATCTGTCTCTGGAAGTATTTTGTTAATTTTTATGTGGTGCTGAGGATAAAGCCTCGTAAGCATCTCTAACTTACTTTTGAAACCTGACCCAATACTTATAAACCCATTTTATACAACCTGCTCTATCCTAGCATCATATAACTGCCTCTTGATGACTGTTCTATAAGTGTTACAAATTAGTGCCTTTTGTCTTTGTTAGTGATTATCATAAAATAACTACCATGATTGTTAGTACTTACCAACTCTTAGAGCACAAAGAAGCAAGAATAGAAGATTTATGACCATTTTTCTCACCATGTGAGTAGGATCACATTGGAATTTATTCTCTTTCCCACAGAGATCTTGCAGCACGAAACTGCCTAGTGGGAGAAAACCATGTGGTAAAAGTGGCTGACTTTGGCTTAAGTAGACTGATGACTGGAGATACCTATACTGCTCATGCTGGAGCCAAATTTCCTATTAAATGGACAGCACCAGAGAGTCTTGCCTACAATACTTTCTCAATTAAATCAGATGTCTGGGGTAAGGTTGGAAGAGAGATTTTCCTGTGTGTCATTTTATTTTCTTTATAAATCCTTTTAATTCGTTTGAGTTTCTCTTTTATATGACCTTTAAAAAGTCAATCAAAAAAGGGCACTGACCCTGGGCATGGTATCTCATGTCTGTACTTCATGAGGCAGAGGCATAAAAATCACTTGAGACTAGGAGTTTAAGAACAGCCTGGATAACATAACAGGACCCTATGTCGGGGGGGGGGGGGGGGGGGGGGGGGGAAGGTCTAGACCTTCAAAGAAGTCACAGAATAGAACTCATATGCATTGGAGTGCTAATGATCCATTCTTTGTAAAGCTCCCTGCTGTTCACATAGGTTTTATTGCTCATTTCCAGAGCATGTGACACAGAACACTCTTTTCAAGGAAGGCATGAGGAGGTTACATCTAGTATTAGTCCTTCTAATAGATCTTGTTTCTAGTACCCTGAGAGCAGAAGGACTTATTAGATAGAGTCTACCTAGCAGACTGAGCAAGTCCGAAAATGTAGATTGTGGGTAGGCAGAAATTGTTGTAGGATTCTAAGTCACTTCTTTCCAGAAAGCTCCAACTCAAAGATAATCAAATTGTGATATAATCAAGCAAATTCTTTTTTTTTCTGTTAATTTTGCCTGATTTTAAATGAATCTATTTTTCATTACTTTTCTGATTATTAGCCAACTTTAAAAATCATGTAATTCATTAAATAGATCAGAGACTGTTCTAAGAGTAGTTAGATTATGTCATAGGCTTTATATCATCTTAGTTTGTTATACTTTAGTATAATAAAGGAAAAACCTAAATAAAAATTGTGAATTTTAGAATTGTCCTGAGATTATTTTTTGTGGGGGGGGGCAGCATTTCTGTGGCAGATACCTTAGACAAATAAATCATGCTATAAAAATTGGCAAAAGGGTATATTAATGTTGCTGTGTGATTATGAACCAAAAAAAAATTGGATAGCGGGGTACTGGGAATTAACAATTTTTTTTTTCTTTTGGTTCTAGCACTTTACCACTGAGCTACATTCCCATCCTTTTTTAATTTTTAATTTTGAGATAGGGAGGCCCTAAGCAACTTAGCAAGACCCTAAATTGCTGAGACTGACCTTGAACTTGAAGTCATCCTGCCTCAGCCTCCCAAGTCACTGGGATTACAGATGTACATCATTGTGCCTGACTGTGAATCAAAAGAGACGTTACCTAGTGATAGAAAATAAACAATAAGACAAAACACTAAGCTTTTTTTCCCCCCCCTTATTCCTTATGCAGCTTTTGGGGTACTATTATGGGAAATCGCTACATATGGAATGTCACCATACCCAGGTATTGACCTGTCTCAGGTCTATGATCTACTGGAAAAAGGATATCGAATGGAACAACCTGAGGGATGCCCTCCTAAAGTTTATGAACTTATGAGGGCATGTGAGTATTTGTGCATATTTTAATTTTGAAATGCCAACAAGTTGGGATGGTTAACAAAATTAGAAATATTCCTTTCAGTATTAGATTGAATCTAGCTTCATGGCATTTTAAAAGTTTGTCATTTATCAGCTAGCTGAAACAGGATAGGCTCTACCAATGAGACTTACTGGAATCCTAAGAATAGTTGTCTGCAGCCCAAATATTGACCCAATTTCTCAAAAAATTGTGTATTTAATAAGATCACAAGAATTGGGTTTGTAGAGGAGTGTTGAGTAGTAGATTAAATTACAGTTGTGTTCAAATACAGGTTTTATATTATTTTCTCATTGAGCATTGGCAAAAGTGAATTTTAAATGTTTCCTTTCTTATACCCTATTAAATTTCTGGATATATTTGGACTTGTTTCTTCACAACGTTTAAAGACAGTTTTCACTTGTTTCATTTTTCTGCTGGAAGAAAACTTGCCATTTTCTAAGTGATTTTACACCCCTTCTCATTTTTACAGTAGAGGGAATGGGAACTGAGGCTGGATAGAAGGACCAGCCTTACTAAGTGGATTCTTACACCTCTGGGTCTAGAATTGAGAGGTAGTTACATGTCTGCCATAATGAACATGTTGTAACTAATAAACCCACATCATGATGCATGAGCCTCATTGTCTGCTATGCCATTGGATATGTAATTCTGGCAAGGAACTAATTCTCTTCTGTCACATAGGCTGGAAATGGAGCCCTGCTGACAGGCCCTCTTTTGCTGAAACACATCAAGCTTTTGAAACCATGTTCCATGACTCTAGCATTTCTGAAGGTAAGAATCTGGTGGATTTAGTGTTGGTAGCTAGTTCTGGCCTRTGGGGAGTGGTGGGTCATTACATTCCAAAAGTATTCAGCTCCTCTGGCCATGRTGACACTTGCTTGCCTATAATCCCTGTGACTTGGGAGAATGAGGCTGGAGGATCCGAACACAAGGCTAGCTTCAGTAAGTTATCGAGATCCTTTCTCAAATTAAAAAATAAAAAGGGTTAAGGGTGTAGCTCAGCAGTAAAACATTCCTGGGTTTTTTCGTACTGGCCCCAGTACTCAAGTAAAACAAAACAAAACAAAACAAAAAAAGGGATCTGCTCTTACACTTGACAGCTCTGTTTCAAGATATTCGGTTAAGGCTGGGATTGTGGCTCAGTGATAGAGCACTCGCTTAGCACTTGCGAGGCCTTGGGTTTGATCCTCAGTGCCACATAAAAAAATAAATAAATAAAATAAAGATATTATGTTCAACTACAAGTAAAAAATAAATATTTAAAGAAATATGGTGTCTCAAAAATAAAGAAAGTAGTCTCTTCATAAAGAAAACAAGTTTGAAAATTCTTTATGTATCAACATTTATGATAAAGGGAAGAAAAGAAGAAAAAGTAATATGAAAATACCAAATTATTTGAACCACATACCAAGTCATAAAAGCAATATTCAGGGCTGGGGCTGTAGCTCAGTGATGGAGCACTTGCCTAGTATGTGAGAGTCACTGGATTCAATCCTCAGCACCACATAAAAATAAATTAATAAAATAAAGTTATTGTGTCTAATAAAAGAAAGCAATATTCTATCATTCATCTTCTAGAACTRTATCTTAAGAAAATAAGAGCATAAATTTAGCTACAAGGTATAAAAATTTAAGAACAACCAAACATCTACTGTGCTGTTAATTATTATATTATTATTGAATACTTTGAATTGTATTCTTAAACCTGTTGGCATGGAAAGAGGTTTAGAAGAGATAAATTAAGCTATCAACAGAGATAAACCACTTCTTATTTAAAAAACAAGGTATGGGCAGGAATGGTGGCACAACACCTGTAATCCCAGCCACTCGGGAAGTTCAGGCAGGAGATTATCGAGTTTGAGGCCAATCTGGGCAACTTAGTGAGGCCCCATGCAATTTAGTGAGCTTAAACCATCCTCCAGCTTCAGCTTCCCAAGTAGCTGGAGCTGTAAGCATACACCACTACACCCAGGTGAATTTTGTACTTTAGCAATCTATTCTTCATTTCTTTCTCAATTGTATGGTTTTTGATTTTTCTTTTYCTTTCTTTCTTATCTTGGTATTAGGAATTGAACCCAGGGGTGCTTGACCTGAGCCACAACCCTAACCCTCCCCCCATTTTTAAATTTCTTTAGTTGTTTTGGTTTTTAATTTGTTATAATCCCAGCCCCTTTTATATTTTATGTTGAGACAGGGTCTCACTAAGTTTCTTAGGGCCTTGCTAAGTTGCTGAGTCTGGCTTTGAACTCAYGATCCTCCTGTCTCAGCTTTCCATTAGCTGTGTGTTTTTTTTTTTTTTTTGAAAAGAAAAACTCCCTTTCTCTGTCATAAAATTGTTCTTTTCATCAGGCCTCTTGTCTTCTTCACAGAGGTAGCCGAGGAGCTTGGGAGAGCTGCCTCCTCCTCGTCGGTGGTTCCATACCTGCCCCGATTACCTATACTTCCTTCCAAGATGCGGACCCTGAAAAAACAGGCGGAGAACAAAGAGAACATTGAAGGAGCACAAGATGCCGCAGAAAATCCTGCCTCCAGTTCAGCACCAGGTGAGGCCCGAGGAGGTAGAACCAAAGCTGAAACTGCCTTTTTTAAAGAAGCGTAGATACGATGCTTTTGTGCCCGTTTTATGCCCGTCTTCCCTGAAGACAGTGTGGCTTCTGTTCTACCTCTAGTGCTGGTCCTGCATTGCTATTGCTAGTAGTTCTGATCTGTCTGTCCAACATAAGACTCTGYCACCGGCTCCATTTCCTCAGCCCTGGCTCCTGCATAGTTACCATCTTTACAGTTCTGGTGAAAATGTCTTCATTAAGCCGGATRGGTGATGCCAGGTACATTTGTTTTTAGAAACAAAATGAATACTGAGGTAAGAACCAGCAGGGTATTTCCCCTCACTTACACCCACACCACATTTGGAAGAGTAATCACCATGAAATGATAATGTATTTATTAATTTCCTCTAAGTACCCCAACACTTGACACTTTATTGATGCTGACAAAATTTTACAATTCAGTCTTAGTTACTCTAATGGATTCTCTTCTTGTCTTTTACATCATACTGATTGTCCATTTCTCATTAGGGTTCATTAGAAGTGCACAGGCCTCCAGTGGGTCCCCAGCACTGCCTCGAAAACAGAGAGACAAGTCACCCAGCAGCCTCTTGGAAGATGCCAAAGAGACATGCTTCACCAGGGATAGGAAGGGAGGCTTCTTCAGTTCCTTCATGAAAAAGAGAAATGCTCCCACACCCCCTAAACGCAGCAGCTCTTTCCGAGAAATGGAGAATCAGCCCCACAAGAAATATGAACTCACGGGTAACTTCTCACCTGTTGCTTCTCTACAGCATGCTGACGGGTTCTCTTTCACTCCTGCCCAGCAAGAGACGAACCTGGTGCCACCCAARTGCTATGGGGGGAGCTTTGCACAGAGGAACCTCTGTAATGACGACGGTGGCGGGGGTGGGGGCAGTGGCGCTGCTGGGGGTGGGTGGTCTGGCATCACAGGCTTCTTTACACCTCGCTTAATCAAAAAGACACTGGGCTTACGAGCAGGTAAACCTACAGCCAGTGATGACACTTCCAAGCCTTTTCCAAGGTCCAACTCTACATCTTCCATGTCCTCAGGGCTTCCAGAGCAGGATAGGATGGCAATGACCCTTCCCAGGAACTGCCAGAGGTCCAAACTCCAGCTGGAAAGGACAGTGTCCGCCTCTTCTCAGCCAGAAGAGAATGTGGACAGGGCCAGTGACATGCTTCCAAAAAAATCAGAGGAAGGTGCTGCTCCAGCCAGGGAGAGACCAAAAGCCAAACTGTTGCCCAGAGGAGCCACAGCGCTTCCTCTGAGAGCCCCTTCTGGGGACCCAGCCATGACCGAGAAGGACTCTCCAGGGGTGGGAGCGGCTGGAGTGGCAGCTGCACCCAAGGGCAAGGAGAGGAATGGTGGGGCACGCCTTGGGACTGCTGGAGTCCCAGAGGATGGAGAGCAGCCAGGCTGGTCTTCTCCAGCCAAGGCTGCGGCCGTCCTTCCAACCACTCACAACCACAAAGTGCCAGTCCTCATCTCGCCCACTCTCAAACACACTCCAGCGGACGTGCAGCTCATTGGCACAGACTCTCAGGGGAATAAATTCAAGCTCTTATCTGAGCATCAGGTCACATCCTCTGCAGACAAGGATCGCCCCCGACGGGTAAAACCAAAGTGTGCCCCACCTCCACCGCCGGTGATGAGACTCCTGCAGCATCCGTCCGTGTGCTCAGACCCTGCGGAAGAGCCAGCTGCCCTGACTGCAGGACAGTCCACGTCAGAAACACAGGAAGGAGGGAAAAAGGCAGCTCCAGGGGCAGTGCCCATCAGTGGGAAAGCTGGGAGGCCGGTGATGCCTCCACCCCAAGTGCCTCTGCCCACATCTTCCGTCTCGCCAGCCAAGATGGCCAATGGCACAGCAGGTACTAAGGTGGCTCTGAGAAAAACCAAACAGGCAGCTGAGAAAATCTCAGCAGACAAAATCAGCAAAGAGGCCCTGCTGGAATGTGCTGACCTACTGTCCAGTGCAATCACGGAACCTGTGCCCAATAGCCAGCTGGTCGACACTGGACACCAGCTGCTCGACTACTGCTCAGGCTACGTGGACTGCATCCCCCAGACTCGCAACAAATTCGCCTTCCGAGAGGCTGTGAGCAAACTGGAGCTCAGCCTGCAGGAGCTGCAGGTGTCCTCAGCAGCTGCTGGTGTGCCCGGGGCAAACCCTGTCCTTAATAACTTACTGTCCTGTGTACAGGAAATCAGTGATGTGGTACAGAGGTAGCCACTGTTAGCCTGGTGGGAAGATGCGTACACATTTCTGGGGGAGAGGGAAAGGGACATGTTTTCCTGTGTTCTTGTTTTCAAAAAATGAAAGACTGATACTTGAGTGTGTTTATGTGAAGTACCTCAGATCCCTGAGTTCTCACGTTTACAGGTTCATCTCAAAAATAAAACACAAATCACGTGAACATAGGAGAGGTGAATTAGGTAGGGGCAAGGCGCAGTGGTGCACAAGGAAACGCACCGGAATTCGGGGAACTTGGGTGTGACAGAAATGCAGTCCGTCCCTACCTGGAACCCTGTGAGGTGCTGGACTGGGCCACTGGTCAGCACTAAGGGTGACTGTGCTCCGGTTCACCTGGCAGCTTCGGTGGGATAAGAAAAGGAAAGCTGGGCCTGTGCCAAGAGCAGGTTTGCTCCAGGCAGCTGGGAGCCCTGTTTGCTTTGCTTCCACAGGTCATCGCTGCTGCGGTAAGAACTGAGGGTCAGGTTGCTAGAACACAGACTGGGAAACGTGGCCGCCTGCCTGCCCCTGTCTGCCTGCCTTTGGTGCATTGGTGCAGGGGGTAAAGAGTGCTGGGAGGTGTCGTCTGGGAAGTTGAAGCCTCCTCCTGAAATGCTCCTTATCGGTCCCATCCCCAGTCGATACATTATTCATGGACCAGGACTGGCTGACTGCTTGTTGGTGGCTGTCTGTTTACTGTAGGTGTAGGGGTCTCCTTAGTGGTTCTGCCCTGTCCCTTGCAGGGCAGGCTGTCTTCCTTTATTTCTGGCAGCATTCAGGGCATTCACTCATTGATCTTGAAAGCAGGGGTCACTGCAGGTTCTCACAGGGGAAGCCTTTGCTGACATAGTGCCCCTGCATATTGACACACTGGCCGAGGACTGCATATTTCTTTACCAACTAGAATACCAAGGAGGTGGTCCTTTCTTGAAACTGCACAGCCAAGCCTGTGACAGAGGAGAAGCTGGCTTGGTTGTAATGACTGTTTCTCCCTCCCTCATCACCTTCAGCCCAACCGGGTAGACAGTAGGGGAAGGCATCCCCCAGCCCTGCAACCCCCCCACCCCACTTGAATTACCCCATTATGCTTTTCTCTTCTCACATATCTGCCCCATCCCCCATCGTTGTACTTGTGTAGTTCATGTTGGGAATATTCTTTATTTATTTTACCATTTCATCTCTGTTTTAAGAGTACGTAATTGAAGGAGTAGGTCCTTTTCAGGGAGTACCAGTTAGATCCTGGAAACCTAATGACTTACCCTTAAATAGGTTTTGTCCTTGAAAAATAGGCCTTTCTCTTCCCTATTYGATATGATTATGGAAAACTATGGCATAGAGTTGAGTCTAATGGGTTAAATATTATTAATGTTCTTGGTATCAGGTCTAATTCCAGTTACTGCTTCATTCTTTTTAGAAAGCTTTATGAACCCTCCCTCCATTCACAGGGAGGAACCAGTACAAAGAGAACCCAGTACAAAGTATTTTTATTTTCTTCTCCCAAAGGAATATTAGCATAGGAAGATAGGAATTCAACATTGAGCAGAGAGTTTTCTTCCTGGCCGTCCAATCGATCCCCTGTCAGGCCTCAGCCCTGTCTCTTAATCCATTAAATGATGGTAACAGTGCATGTTCTCAAGGGCATTTTCAAATAAATGTATAGCTAACCCTTTGATAGCCTCCCTGGAAAGCTCTTTAATGCATTGTTATGTTGAATTGTTTTTCTTTCTTTGCAGAGTGGCAGATGCTACTGAATTTAGAACTGCTGAGCTGTKTTAATTAAGCTAGAATACTGAGGAAGAAACTGTTTTCATCAGAGTTTGGCATTTTTTTGACCAAGTTAGTTTTTTATCACTGCTGCTCCAAAGGAGGCTCAGGTTAAGAGAAGGATTCGCAGGGAGGAGACAGTACCAGGTATGCTGGCACGTGTTGAGTGATCCGTGTCAGTATGTGACCAGTAGCTGTAACAAAAGCAACTGGTGGTCCTGTTAATATCTTTGTAGTAATTGGAAGAGAACTTGGATTTGAAACCACCCTTTTTCCTTACTGCTCCCCCTTATCAAATACCATAAACTTGAACTTATTTTAGTAGTTAGTCTTTTAAAGGTGGAGAAGAGAAAGCTGAAATTTAGAATATTGTTATGCTGCTTTTTAAGTTTATCCCTGCTGTTGTAGAATGCAAGTTAAGGGATTATAATTGTTTTCAAGGGAGTTTTTTTTTTTTTTTTTAACAAAGGCTCTATTTTTTTCTTAAGAGTTCTGAAAATAAGCCTTGCAGAAACACTACTGAGTGTATTTCAGCTCCCTGGTTTTCTCACTGAAAAACGATCTTGAGGGTGGTGGGTGGGGGCTGCATCTTACTCAGGGCAGCACCTATTTCTGTCTTGCTTACAGTGGGTGCTCAATAAATCCATAAATTGAATTGATTCTTCTCAGCACTGTCACAAGTAGCATTAACTATCGCAGCACACCCCATCCACATGATGCTTGGACTGTGTGACGTCAGGGGTGAGGGCTCAGGGCTCAGGTTGAAGAGGCACTGTCAACTTGCTATAAAAGTACAAGTTATGATTTTCCTTTTTACGCTTGTAAAGGACCAGTTTTAAAGAGAAAAAAAAAGAATCAAAACTTTATGTGAATTAAAAGGTTTGAATCCAAAGCAGAGAAAACTGCTTCTAGAGATTAAAAATGTCGTTTAATTTATCTAATCTAAAAGCAGGTAGTAAGGGAAAAGGCCTTGTACATTGTGTTGACGAGTGTCTGAAGTGGCTCTATAGATGTGCATACCTTTGGGTTGCCATGGCGTGTTTTCCTTTCATGTACAGGTAATATGATTTGAGTTTAAATTTTCTACCTTAAAATGCAATGTTTTGTGTTGACTATATCAATTGTGCATTACACAGAGTTTTCTTCTAAAAGGCTTTGTGTAAAGTTAACATGTACAGTTTTTCCTACAGACTCCTATCATGACTTTCAGAGATACAGCCTTAAAAATTTTGGCCCAGTTGGGGTGCAGTGGTGCAYACCTATAATCCGAGCCACTTAAGAGGCTGAGACATGAGGATCATAAATTTGAGGCCAGCCTCAGCAACTTAGTGAGGCCCTCAGCAATTTGCAGCATGTCTCAAAAAACAAAAGGGCTGGGGATGTAGCTTAGTGGTAAAGTACCCCTGGATTAAGTACCCAGGGCCAAAAAGATGTTTTATGTGTTCTTACAGTGAACTTGATACCAAGCTGTGAGCTCTGTTATGCAAGAATGTTTTTCTAGATGACTTATATATACATAGAGGTCATTAAAGCTGACACCCTTTCCCAGATGCATTTTAAGGTTTAAAATAAAAATTTTCTTACAATTCAATTGAAAGTTGGCAGTAAAATAGTTCTTAGTTCATAAAACATGCTGCCTATGCTAAGGCACAGCCCATGTTTATTTAACTAAAGTCATAGATCTTTTGCGTTTAAAAGATGCAGTATAGATAGTGGTTTAGAGTTCGGGCTCAAAACCAGTGAAGAAGACAAGTCATTTAACTTTGCTGAGCCTCAGTTTCCTCGTTGTAAAACAGGGATGATAATAGTAACTACCTCAGGGTTGTTGTAAGGATTAAATGAGGTAATGTTTATAAAATCCTTAGCTCAAGTGCCTAGCCCACAATGGCACTCCATAACTGTCAACTAGTATTATTATTAACACCTAATCCAGGAAAGTACAACAGAATCGTTTAGGGKTTTTTTTTGTTTTGTTTTGCTTTTTTTTAAGAAAAACTGATGAATTATTCCCATTCCAGATCAGAATTCCCAGTGGGGTGAGATCTCAGCCAGTGTGCTTTCAAAGAATCTCACCAGGTATTTGAGATACCCAACACTATCTGAAAACTGTCAGTGACCTTTTCTTCATAGATTAGGAGATCAGAGGAGAGGATGGTCAAGTCACTCTAGCATTATCTTAACAGTCAATGACTGGGCCAAGGCTGAATTCAGGGCTTCTGACTGCTGGTTGTGGCTCTTCACCACACCTGCTGCCTTGTGGGACACTGTGAAGAAAGTGGCTCAGAGAGACAATCAGTGTGCAGGGCGCTGCACACTCTCTAAAGCACAGGCTTGTGGCACACTCTGACCTTCAGGGGCTTGACTGTTGAGAAATGGYAGCTCTGGCAGAGCAGCGTTCAGGAGAACTCCGTGATTTAAAAGATTATTTGGGGTCGTTCTTTTGGACTGATCTCACCAACAACCGTCTGCACTTTGTAGTAAAGGAATATCAACTTAAAAGTTGTTTTKTTTTTTTTTTAACTAGTCCTACATTCCTTTTTCTTAAACGACTTTATTGTTCAATATCACTTTAATGACTGAGATAATGTATATGAAAGCACTTTGGAAAAGTATCAAATCTAATATAACTATAAAGTTGTATTATGAATGTCTGTGTAGAAGAGAAAACATTTCACTAGTGCTGATTGACCTAAACGCTTTTACCTGGGGGGGACCTGAAACTGCAGCTATATGAAGAATCACCTGTGTAATTTATACATTTATAAACATGAAACTGCTACAAGAATATGTGCAGGTATAGCACATGGTTTGCTACAGTTGTAGTTCAGAGCTGAATAAATTCAGGAAAACTAGGGACCAACTTTTTGGTTTAATTGTGCTCTTTAAAAAGTAATGAAGTGTACTTGGCTTCAGAATACAGAAGCTCTTCTGGGGACCTTGGCTCAAGAAGGATGAGGCCTCTTACTCTTGAATATTTGTCTACAACCTGCCCAGCCATTGGTATCCTAAATGTGGTGGAGCAGACTCGTTATCTGTTAGTGTTGACAGTGTCTTTTTTAACCTACGTCCTTTGTGGTTTTGTGGTGGGAGGATGCATGGGGCTGGATGACCTTAGGRCCAGGGCATTGGGTTATTACTTCTAGGATTTCCTACTAGTTGTGACATTGACATTTATCATCTTTGTTTTTATCCCAGGAAGAGTAGATGAACTTAATTTACCTGTTAGATTATTAAATACTGAAGAGTAAATTGCAGTGGGGCTGCTGTGGGTTACAGCTGTGCTTCATTCTGACCCCTCCCACCCCTTTCCATTTTTGCTTGCATTCACCTGTTCCACCAGGACTGGGGTCCATCTTTGTGTCTCAAGCATCTGTTATGACCAGTCCTTCTTAAGTAGGTGGGTCTCTGGGTTAAGTTTCCTTTCAGGGACTGATAGACTCCCCAGGCTGTATTTCTTAGCTTCTATTAAATCAGTAGCTCAGCTTCTTTGAAAATGCCTACTTCAGTTTGTGGGCAAGCGAGAGATCTAGGGACCTTCCATGTGACAACCTCGGGAAACTGCTGGCTACAACCTCACCGGAAAGGCCAGGTCTTGGGCTGGTTCTAAAACTTCTGTTCTTAACAGGATATCTACATCTTTTGTATAGAGTTCCAGTTTTCTAACTTCCAGACTTTTCAAAGTCCAATAATTCAAGGCCAGCTTTTTGGGGGTTGGATGCCAGTCAGCAGTGCCTGGAATAATGGTGACTGTTACTGCCATGTTAAGCACAACCTCACTGCCATCCCTACCCTCCTCTTAGGAAGCATGGGCAAGTTTCAGGGCTAGGGACTGGACCTGAGTGTGGGCACGATAGTATTTCCTTTGTTTCTGACTCATGATCCTAGATGTATAGGCCAGGAAATTAGGAAGCTCTACCCTTGTAATTGGGGTAAAAGAAGATCCAGTGCTTCTCCTTGAGTAAGGAGGCCTACAGCAGGCATCTGGATTCTAAGCTGACTTGGAGCAGCAGAGGCCACCCATAAAGATTTGTACCTTCAAAGATGGGTTTATGATTTGCAGTAGAAAAGGTTTGTCTGCTCGGTTGCCGTCATGATTGAGCTAGGTCTGGGAGAAATGGGCTTCAGTGGAGCTCAAAGCCTCAGGCGGTGAGACACCGCCACTGAGGGCTTTCCTCACAGCTAGCCCTGATGGGAAGGAACGCTGCAGGTTTCTCTGTCCCTGAGTGAGCCGAGGGAGGGGAGCTCTTCCTGGACCCTGCCCCCCCTCCAGATGCATGTACTTCTTTCCTCCTATGTACAGCTATRGATTTGAAATTGTTTACCTCTCCTAGGAAAATGTCTTTTCACCTCCCCATTACTAATCAAACTGAACACGGTAGCAAAGCCCTTTCAACTGGGACAGAGTGGACAGATGGCATGTTGAGTGGGTCTTCAAACCTGCAGACCATATAAGGGGACACAGTCTTTAAGTTGAAAGGCTAGGCACAGTCTTGTCCCCGGACTAGACCACGTTTAGGGCAGAATTGTGATACCTGAACTCTGCACTTTCTGGGAGATTCTTTTTTCACCATTGCAAGAGCAAATTTCAAGGTCGTATAAGTTTCTGCAAGTGACTGAGCTGTGCACACAGAGCTTGAGGTCTCCAAACATACTACTTAACCCTTTAAGGAACTGGTAAAGGCAAACTGTCACATGCCAACAAGTGTTATAAAGGAAATGCAGGAGTTCTTTGGTTGGAACTGGGTTAGATTTGCTTCCGAGCCTCAGAATAGGAGGTTTAAATCATGTTTAGGTACCATAAAATTTAGTTGGAGAAGAGGACTTGTGCTTAATAATTTTTTTCCACATATGGGTACCTAATTTTCAGTAATTATTATACAACAAAAATAAGTAAGCCAAATAAATTTAATCTTGTTTAGAAATTGAACGCATGATGCTCAGTGCTTTAGGGTCCTTGGTAATGAACTCCAAGTACTGCTCTGTCGTTTGTAAGTCCCACACCATGTATTGTGCGTGGCAAGAATGCAGAGAGAGAGAGAGAGAGAGAGAGATCTGAGAGACACTCCTGATAGATGAGGGCTCCCTAAACCAGCTTTCTTCATTTAGACAGCCAGTTTTCATTGTGGCCACTTGGACTCCATTATGAGAAGAATTTTCTGAGATCTTGAGAAATCACCTTGATCAGGCTGACTGTCTTCCAGGGAATTAGTATACAGAAATAGAACAATGAGGCACTTACCTTGTAGTTCCCTAAGGAACTGTGTTTGAAAACCCTCCCCTGTCAGACCTGTGCACACATTTATGTAGTCAGCGCATGCGCACTRTTGTGCGCCCTCCCTGAGAAGCAGGGGTGTAAGTGCAAGGGGAGTGAGTCGCATCTTGCCTTGTGCACAGGGGCAGTGGCGGGGTTGGTGTGTTGGCCACAGGCAGGCTGGCTGAGCCACTGATGCAGACAGCCCGTCTCCCTCACAGACCCTGCACTTTTCCTTCTTTGCTTTCTGATTTTATAAAGACTATCAGTGGAGAAACCCCAGTTTTGTGCTTGCTTGATTAAAAAAAAAGTTTGGACATTTCATGGTTGTTGACAGAACTTTGTCCTGAAACATGCTAATTCAGAAAAAGTGTTCAATGTTTATACCAAAGGTTATGCTCTGCAGGTGTGTGGTGCACAGAGGGTGCTATGTGTTGCTACGGGGACACAGTGCACAGTGAGACAGTATGGGATTTAACTGAAAACACTTCAATCATGGGTCACACTACCAGTGTTGTCAGGTATTTGTTCTTTATTGTTATTGTAATATATTTTCAATTGTTTTTCTAATTTAATTCTCACTCTGTTGTCTGACTGTGAACTGCTAACAGTGTTAAACTTGATGTAAATAAATAATGCCCTTGAAAGGGACTGCTCTCTGCCTGTCGTCTCACAAGGTTTGCAAGTTGTGTTTTGTTTTAAATAAAGGTTGCAATATTTTATTGACAAAGTGAACTTGAGTTTGAAGTGTTTCTCCCATGATTTTAATTGACAGGAAATCTAAGCAGAATTTCCCTTTACATAAAATAAATGTCATTTTTAATGTAAAGAAGCGGATTTTAGCAAGCATCCCTCTAGTGAACTCTGGAGCGAAGGGTAAATCTCATCTTTTGGTGGTTCACATTTTTTACATAAGGCCTGGAGCCAGGCTGGTGTACATAAGGTAGGTAGTGTGACTCTCCAACGTGAGATGACTATAAAAGCAAACCTGACTCAAAATCCATCCTGAGTGGAAGAAGAACCGACTCCAGACAAGTCACGGGAGGAGTTCCACTTTATTACAAAAGGCTATGGGCTTATAAAGAT